GCCGGTAATTCCCAGGCCTCATTTTGTTCTCGATGGCAGGGAGGGGAAGAGGTATAGCAGGGAAGAAACAACAATGACCCAGAATCTTGAATGTCAGCCTGGGAATGGAATTCAGAGTGTATCTTGTCTAATGGTTATCTGAACAAGCATGTCACCTACAACCTACCCAACAAGTGGTCACCTAGGTTTTAGGTAAAGATCAGCAATAGGGTGGGCAGGCAGGAGAGGGGCAGTACATCTTGTGTCAGACTATACAAAGTTTTGACTCGGCAGAACTTTGTTTTTCCTCTTTACATCAAGCTTATTTATTTATTTATTTTTAATATGCACCCATTGCTTCTGGTTCTGACTTTTGAGGCCAAGTTTAAAAAGGGGGGGTGTTTATAATAGCTTTCAAATGTCATAGCTCTTCAAGCTCTTGGAAATATGTATCTTCTCCCTCCCCCCAGTGTTTTCTCTTCCCTTTCCCACATTAAACATCTTCTCTTTAGAATACACATACATTGAACTCTCCTTTCATCAAACCCATAGCTCGAGTGTTATTCTATAAATATGGCACCACCCAGGCGCTTTGTGACCACTGCTTCCTTTTTTATACTTTAATGATACGTCCCTTATAGAAGACATCATAGGATTTCACAAGCAATCAGAGTCAAGCTCAGTGACCTACAGGTTTTCTGTGTCAGGTTGGGAGTCTGCACCTTCCTCTTCAACCAAATCAGTCACCAGAGTCCTCAAGGAACTGTGAGCATACTCAGGTTCATTTCTTCTCTCTGGCCAGTGGGCATACACCCTGGGATAAGTCTCAACTGAGATAATGGATACAGAACACTTTGAAAACCTTAGAGCACTATGGAAATACAAAGTATTTGTTGTTGTTTTTATTGTCGTTGTTTTTACTATTATTATTAACCTACGGTCACTAGGCCACAGGTCTGGTAATGACTTCATTGTAAGATCAAGCAATGTTTAGTGTATGTAGGCACACAATTTTATGTTTAATCTTTAATATTTTGTTAGGTCTAGACAATTAACAAAACAATAAACCAACCCCTGGTTTTTAGCCCATTGTTGATGCTTGAGTTATAAATGGTCACACACTAAAAATTTATTTATGTTTTTAAATTTTGTTTATGTATTTTAAACATTTCTTTCTTCCTGTTTTGAGTTCCAAATTTTATCCCTCCCTCCAATCCTTTCCCCTGTCCACTGAGGAGACAAACAGTATGAAATCAAGCCATGTTGCAAAAAAAAAAGCAAGAAAAATATAGTTCAGTTTGCACACGAAGTTTATCAGTTCTCTTTCTTCAGGTGGATAGCATTTTTTTTCATCATGAGACCTTTGGAATTGTCTTGGATCATTGCATTGATCAGAGGAGTCAAGTCTTTCAGAATTAATCATTATTCCAATATTGCTGTTACTATACACAAGGATCTCCAGGATCTTCTCACTTCAGTTTCCATCAATTCATTTGGGTGCCATGTTTTTCTGAAACCACTCCCCTCATCATTTCCCATAGCATAACAGTATTCAACTCCAATCATGTGCCATAACTTGTTCAGCCATTCCCCAATTGATAAGCATTGCCTCAATTTCTGATTCTTTGCCAGCACAAAAAGAACTACTATAAATATTTTTGTACATATAGGCCCTTTTTCTTTTCCTTTGATTTATTTGGGGAGGGGGTACAGTACAGTAGTGGTATTGCTGGGTTAAAGGGTATGAACAGTTTTATAGCTCCTTGGGCATAGTTCCAAATTCTTCTCCAGAATGATTGGGCCAGTTCACTACTCTCCCAACGATTCATTCATCTACTTATTTTTCCCTCATCCTTTCCAATATTTTTCATTTCTTATAGGTGTGAGGTGGTATCTCAGAGTTGTTTTAATTTGCCTCTCTCTAATCAATAGTGATTGAGAGTATTTTGGGGGGATATGACTTTAGATAACTTTTATTTCTTCTTCTGAAAACTGCCGGTTTTTATCCCTTAACCATTTATCAATTAGGGAATGGCTCTTATTTTCATAAATTTGATTCATTTCTACACTCAGTACATATTTGAGAAAGAGGCCTTTATCACGGAAACTTGCTGCAAAAATTTTTTGATACTACTTCATTGTCTATGGTACCTTTTAGCAAAATGTAGTTTCCCTGATTATCTTTTTTAACTAGGTCTGTTTTTACTTTCATTTCATATGAGATCAGGATTGCTACTCCTTTTTGTTTTTAGTTCAGCTGAAACATATTAGTTCTACTCCAGCACTTTATTTTGACTCCGTGTGTTCTTCTGTTTCAGGTGTGTCTCTTGTAAACAGTATGTTGTTGAGTTCTGGTTTCCAATACATTCTGCTATCTGATTCCATCTTATGGGTGAGCTCTTGCCATTCACATTCATAGTTATAATGACTGACTGTGTATTTTCCTCCATCCCATTTCCTGTATTTCTTCTTCTCACTCTCTTTTTATCCTGTCCTTACTCAGAGGTCTATTTTTCTTCTAACCACCTCCTCCCATAATCTGCCCTCCCTTTTATCATACCCCCCCTCCACTTTTTCTCATCCTGTTCCTCTCCTATTTCCCTTTTGGGTATGCTACATTTCTATATACAACTGAGTGTGTGTATATATCTTTCATTCTTTGAAACAATTCCATTGTCCACCACCCCCTCCACTGTGAAAGTTCTGCCTTATGTATCTCTTATGTGAGAAAGTTTTCCCCATTCTATTTCTCCCTTCCAGATTCTGCTAGTGTATCCCTCTTTCTCACCCCTTCATTTCATTTTTTGGAGATCATTACAATACACTCACATTTGTGCCCTCTATGTAAACTCTTTTTAACTGTCCTAATAGTGATAAAGTGCTTAGGAGTTACATGTATCATCTTCCCAAGTTGTTCAGTCATTTCAGTCATGTCTGACTCTTTGTGATCCCAGTTGGGGCTTCCTTGGCAAAGATACTGGAGTGCTTTGCCATTTCTTTCTCTGGTTCATTTTATAGATGAGGAAACCAAGGCAAACAGGGGTGAGTGACTTGCCCAGGGTCACACAGCTAGTAAGTGTGTAAGTCCAGATTTGAACTTATGAAGATGATTCTTCCTGACTGTAGGCCTGGCACTTTATCCAATGCACTATCTAGCTGACCCAGAATGTAAATAGTTTAACTTTATTGAATGCCTTATGATTACTCTTTCATGTCTACCTTTTTATGCTTCTCTTAAGTCTTGTGTTTAAAAATCAAATTATCTATTCAGCTTTGGTCTCTTCATCAGAATGCTGCAAAAGTCTTCTATTTCATTAAATGTCCATCTTTTCCCCTGAAGGTTTATACTCAGTTTTGGTAGGTAGATTATTCTTGGAGGCACTGTCCAAAGCTTCAGAATTTTTCATGCTCCTGTTTTCAGGACGAGTTCAAGGTGTCGGCAGTTTTTGGTGCTTCCAAGGTGATGTGACATGGAATTATTTTCCTTGTCTGTGCTCTGGTCTTTACCCAAGAAGGGCTCTTGCTCCCCTTCAGCCATGAGTGCTAGTTCTCTTTGCCTTAGTACTATGACCAGGGCCTCTGCTTTCTTGTGATAAGCCACCAGTACTTCTCTCTGTCTTGGAGCTGTGACCTAGAATTGCATATGGACAAAACAGTCACCAGTCAGCACCAGCTACACCAAGCTCCGGCGATGAGTTCCAAGTAATCTCTTTCTGACCAATTGTCTCACCTCATTACTATTTTTCGACTGAGCTTCTGAAGCTGCTACTGCTGCTACAGCCTCTAATGTGTGAGGGCTCCAGAAAGGCCATCACCTTAGAGTCACAAACATCTCTTGCTAACCTCCTATGTTTTCTTAGGCCAGAAAAATGTCTCATCCTCACCTTTTGTAGGCTCTGCTACTCTAAAATTTGATTTGAGTCATTATTTTAAAGTTGTTCGAAGGGAAATATTGAAAGAATTCAGCTGGATTACTTCCAATCTGCCATCTTGACCTTTCACACTGAACATTTAACAATCTTACAAGCTGGCTAGAACTGGCTCCAGAACTCCCCTGGCCATATCTTCATCAATTGTCAGATCATCATCAGATATATCAAGGGCTCATCTAACCCCTCTAATTCCACAATGATTTTTCTCCAATGGAAGGGTGGACCCAATCTGAGACTGCCCAGACAGCTTTCCTGTACAACTGGATATGTCCGTGGGAAAACCGTTTTCCAATGCATGGCTAAGGAAATGTTCTCCTGACATTCTGAATCTCTATCTTTCCCCCTGCCTCATCTTCACTTTGTCTGTATTTGCATGGCACCAGAGAAATTTAATGAAAATGAAAAATCTAGTCCAACTAATTTTGTGTAGACAGAACCCTTCACTCTGATAGAAAGGACTTCTTTGCTTCTTATTCACTCACTCTCCTGGGGGAGGGCTGTATTGAATTTGAAATGATTACTTTGAGCATCTTTCTCCCAATCCTGGCTCACCTTTCCCCACCCTGTGAACTAAGGTTCAGTATTGTGTCACATACCTTGTTAAATGAGACTGAAACAATTATGGGAAAAATTGAATAGATTATCACATCCATGACAATATGCAGGTATTCACAAGCCCACCCTCCTTGGTGGGTGAGGCCCCTCCTCTGGGGGAAATTCTTGGTCCTGATCCTGGGTCTCTCTACCTGTGAACCCTCTTCAGAAGCTCCCTAAGAGGCAGTTTCAGTCCCTGATGACTAAGGGTTGCCTTAGTCTGCCTTCTTTCTTTGATCAGGCCATGTGACAGGAAGCATATTTGTGAAGCTTGGTCCAAGAGTAGAGTAATGAAGGGGATTGGACTGACAAAGTCTTCCCACTGGACATGCATTTCTTCCCCATCCCTTGGATCACATCTCTAAATGCTCTCCGTCACGTTTCATTCAGTTCTTTGGGACTTGAGGGTGGGGAATGAAATGGGGATAATCTTGACCCCTCCAGCATTCCTGGTACACCATTCCTATGTTGTTTTATCCGCAGGCATGTCAGAGTCAGCAGTGCCCAGGGGAAGTTTCTCCAGCATGGACCCAACCACCATGATGCAGACTTCCACTGAAATGCCCCAAGGCTCATTTAATGGAAGTGGGACTGAGACAAATATTAGTGAATCTCTCTTCACTAGTTTGGGTAATTGTGAAAACAGGGCATTTGTTGTTACAGTTAACTCCATCATGTTGACCATCAGCTTTTGTGGGCTGGTGGCAAATGCACTGGTACTCTGGCTCCTGGGCTTCTGCATCAAGAGGAACCCTTTCTCTGTCTACATCCTTAACCTAGCCGGGGCTGACTTCTTCTACCTGTGTTGTCAGATTGTGCGCTCCATCATGCTTATTTGTCAGGACTTTTGGGACATAGTACCAAGATTTATTGTCACTCTCACAATTTTCTTTTACACCTTGGGCCTGAACCTGCTGGCTGCGATCAGCACTGAGCGCTGTCTATCTGTGCTCTTCCCCATCTGGTACCGATGCCACCGCCCCAAGCACATGTCTGCCACCGTGTGCTCCCTTCTCTGGACACTCTACCTTCTGGGGAATCTACTAGAAGGTGAAGCCTGTGGTTTACTTGATCTCATTCCCTACAGGGTAATGTCACGTCTGGCATGGGACTTCTCTTTTGTGACATTGATCGTCTTTCTGGTTTGCCTGCTGTGTGTGTCCAGCTTGACTCTAGTTCTTAAGTTCCAGTGCCATGCCCAGAACAGGGGACCCTCCAAACTCTACCTTCTCATCATGTTCACAATCCTTATGTTCTTGCTCTGTGGCCTTCCTTTTGGAATTGACTGGTTTCTCTTGTATTGGCTGATAGATACAAGGTGTATCTTTTTTGTCTTTCAGCTTCTATCCTGTGTGAATAGCAGCACAAACCCCCTTATTTACTTCTTCCTAGGTAGCTTCAGACAGAAGAGAAGGAGGGAGCCCCTCAGAGTGGTACTCCAGAGGGCCCTGAAAGATGAGGCAGAGACAGGAGCAGACAATGAGATCTCCCTCACATAAATTATGGAAATGTCAGGCTGAGCACTCCCCAGAGGGCACAGTTGGTGGAGAAAGGGGAAGGGAGGATTCCTCTGGGAAGGATGGGGAACCTGTGGCCTTTAACTGACTCCAAACTTCACAGAACAAATCCCCTTAATAAAGGGATTTGTTCTGTAACAGTTGGACTCAGTCAAAAGGCCACAGCTAGGTTCCCCACTCTCTTCTAGGGCCCTGTGCTTGCCCCTTGAATCTGGTCACGGTTATAGCTACTTTCCCCGCTCTTCTCCTGCACCTCTTAGCCTTGCTTTGGAAGACAGATGGCTTTTTATATTTTCTACTTGGAGGTAAAATGGTTCATAAGGCCAAGGGCCCCTAGAATTAATGACAGAGTTGGCACCTGGGGCTTCCTAATAGGGAAATTAAAAACCCATGCCATGTGGAGACAGTCCTGGTGGAACCTACACTCTATGGGTTAACTCTGTCTACAAAGTGGACAGGAATGTGTTCCAAGGCACTCCCCTTGTATGGAATTGCACCCCACTCCCAGCCCTGATCATTCCCATACTCAAGGAGTATTCCATTTTGAGATAGACTACATAGCCTTCCTGTGAGCCTGAGCCAGATGAGAAGGAGGGATGGGTTATTTTTGCCTGTTACAAGCATCCTGACTCATTCTATCTGCTTAAGAAGGAGTTACCACTTGGGCCCTCATCATGGACCTGCCTAGTCCCACAACTCTCAGAAATCATAGGTCAATGGCAGGTCATTCAGAAGAATGAGCAGACTGAAGAAAA